TGTGTCTCGAGTGGGTATGCACAATAGTTTGTGCTTACACTCTCGCTTCATACATTTGCAACCAGCACGAGTTACATGTCTGATAAAGTGAAAAAAGATATTGTTTATCTTTATCTCTTACTTTTTAGGACTTTTTTACATGTGTCCTAGGGAATAAAGTTTCTTTTCCCGATTTGCTTTGTGGTCCAAACCAAAAGAAGGAATACTTTCCTCATTTGGGTAAACATTGGTCAGCTCTTTGTTGGTTGATGTGGCACTAGTGTGTTAAGCAAGAAACACTACACTATATATCATCTCATCTTGTGTCTTTGAATCTAACCTTTAGATCTTTTATTTCATTGTACTCTGAATTTCTTAGAGTATTCTTTCTCTTAAGGCTCATAGGTTCATTTCCATTGTATGCCAAAACCTCACGATATCAAACATTTTATTGATGGCTCTTGGAACGTGGTTCCTTTGCTGATGTTGATGCTAGTGCTGGTGCTTGTGCATGGCATCAGTGCTTGAAGCTTGGTAGTTCACAAGCTATTCTTGGTGTGTTCTCGACGTGAAGAAGGTCCAAGGAGTTGCTATACGTTAAGGATTCCAAGTGTGGTGCTAAGTGTAAAGTTGAATAGACAGTTCTTTTTACTATAGCTTAGATCAACTTTGAACATTATCTTGTAATGTGTTTTTAACTCAGTAGATTGCTTCAATCTGGACAAGGTCCCATGGATGTAGGTTAGAAGTGGATTTTAGCAGAACCATATATATGGCTATGTTCTTTTTTTTTTTTTCCGCACTTATGTTTGATGTAGTTAAATTGGAAATGTCTTAATCTACTTGGTAATATTTTCCGCTACACTTAAAATGGGTAATCATACACTAAAGTGAGTTAATCGACAACTCTCTCCCCAACACAACTTATAAATTAGTCGTTTGCCGCCCCTTGCGTCAGCCACAGTAGGCCCTTGCCTACCTCTACTCCCTCTTGCCCAATAGCCCCATACCCAACTTTCTTTGCATAGAACTTCTGCAACATAAAACTAGCAGCACCTTCTTCTCCCTCATCCTAAAACCCACCATGGCCAGAAGCCTACCAAATCCTCCTTCCCAATTGTTTAGAACCACCACAACCAGTAGATTTGACCTCGTCCCTATCTGATAATCAACCTCTCTCCCTATCACATTTTCGTACTCCACCTCTCAACACTGCCACAATCCACCATAGAGCCCGTTAGTGTCTTAAATGATATTAATGTTTAATATTCTTGACCTTCCTCATTTAAATTTTTAGTCGGTTTTATTTATTAAATCGTAAAAAATAAGTTGTGAAATTAATGTTGTAATAATAATTGTGTTAATGATTGTATTGAGATGACAAATGATTTTGTCGAGAATAATAAAATAAAAAATTGTTAGGGATTGTATGTCAAGTCAAATCAAGATATGCTTGCAACAATTTCAGTTTTTATGGAGGAAGATACTAAATTTGGTTTGTTCAATATTTCCATTGATCTAAATCTTAAAAGTAATTATTTTTTCAAATTTTGTCAACAAACATATCTATGGCCATAGATTTGGCCTTTTTCGACCAGACCCATGGTAGATCTAGCCTTTTCCGACCAGATCCAGCTAGTCTTGCACCATTTCAACAGATTCTAGCCACCTTCTGACGGTGGTGGTTGACTGTCAGCAATATGTGGGTGGGTGAGGGTGTTATTGTCAATTTATAAACTTTTATTGTTGGGAGTGTTTAGTTAAATTAACAAACCTATGGGGTTAAAATTAATGTAAATATTTTTAGAAAATGTTATTTAGAAATGTGCAAAAAAAAACTTCTTAGAATCTTATCATATTTTCCAAAAATGCTAAATAGCATAGAATACTACTCTAAATAACTAACCAAACACAGCCCTAGGTTCTATGAGTTATTTTTTTGGCTTTGAAGCCAAAAGAACAACTACTAGTTTATCTCTGACTCTGCAGAAATATGTTTCTAATTTGCTTGTTAAAGCTCATATGGAAAATGCCAAAGCTTGTGATACCCCTATGTGTGCTAATACTAAGTTTTTTCTAGCATGATAGTTCATTGTTTGATTAGCCATCATTGTATCGCAGCATTATTGGGGCTTTGTAGTATTTGACTATGACTAAGCCTGATATTGCATTTCCTATCAATAAATAGAGTCAAATTTTGCAATCTTCAACTTGGGCTCATTGGCAGGCTGTTAAGAGGCGTTTAGGATACCTCGAAGCACTATTACTCATGATCTCTTGTTTACACCAGCTGCTGATCTTGTACTAGAAGGATACAATGATGGTGACTAAGCCAGCAACATTGATGATCGAAAATCAACTTCAGGCTATTGTGTTTATCTCGAAGGAATCTTATCCAGTGGTGTTCTCGGAAGCAGAAAGTTGTTTCTAAATCATATACTGAGTCTGAATATGGTGCTTTATCTCAGGCTGCTACTGAATTAGTGAGGTTGCCAAGTCTTTTCAGAGATATGGGTATCAAAGTGGCTGCTTCATGTCCATTATTTTGTTGTGATAATCTTGGAGCAAAATCATTGGCAGCTAATCCTGTATTTCACTCCAAAACAAAGCACATTGAAGTGGATATTCATAATATCTGCGAGAAATTTGCTTCAAAGGAGTTAAAGGTGAAATATGTTCCTACCGAGTTTCAGATTGCATATCTTCTGACTAAATCTCTACCTGGTACTCGCTTTCTTACTTTGCGAAATAAGTTCATTCATTTTGTCACGTCAATATTAGAACAGAAGAAGTATTATTTAAGGGGGAATGTTGCTCCAGCTCAAATGCGCCCAGACTTGGTTAAATTTGTTACTATGTAACTGAGCCGTTAGTGCTATGTTAGTTTTGTAAAGAGATAGCTGCATTTTGTAGTTAGTTTTGCTATTAGTTAAAGTAGCTCAGTTTAAGTATAAAAGGAGCTAACTACCTATTCTTGTAACTGAGTTTCTAATTTAGTAAAAACAATTCTCAAGTTTTTCTTTCATTTCACTCTATCCAAGTAGGTGTAGATAGATTTTCAGGTAAATTTTGAGTTTTTGGTTGCTGAGAATTTGCAGGAAATTCTCCATCAACTCTAATACCAGAAAGAAAACAAAACAAATTTTAAAGAATATTTTTGAAGGAATGTTTCAACTGCTTTTGTACTTTTTGTTTACTGCCACAGCACTTAACAAACTGTATATTGAGAGTTGCTTGTAACAGAACAATCCTTCCTAAGTTGAAGATAATTGGGACTGTTCCAACTTTGAGCAACTACTGAATCATTTACAAAGTCGTTGCATTTATCTCTTAAATATTGTGATGCATAATTTGTACATGCTTGTAATCATAATTGTGTTTGTAATTTATTAGTTGTTAAATATATATCAGAAGTAAATTATTCAAGGCCAATTTGGTTTCATTTATCACATTATAGTATATAAAAAGTAGGGGTTTATAAAAATTTCCTCCTCAAGTTTGAGAAAAGTGTAACACACCCAAGGATTTTAAAAAGGAACAAACGCATCCAAAAAATTGAAACTTTGTCCTAGAAAGACTATAGTGCTCTTGTCTAATTATATATTTTTTGTCAGTTTTTAGACAAAGGGTATTATACTCTTTATATAATAAAGTAATCAATTTTGGGGTTCATTTGTTACTTTCACCAACCCTTGAGTAGAGCTTGTCATAAACCCTGTATGTGCATTCTTTTTTTTTTTTTTTTTTTTTCAATTGAAGTAGTTAGGGTTTGGCTCTGATTGACAGTTCAGAACTTTCATCCTTTTCATCAAAAACATTGAGGAAACATGGGGCTCATGAATACTCCTAGTTACTAAGTAGCTCAAAACTGGAGTAGTTCATTCAAAAAACAAAATAAGCATAGTTAATTTAATTCAAGACTGTATATATGGTTTTTTTTTTTTTTTTTTTTTTTTTTTTTTTTTGTAAGGAATGAAGACAAGGCTCAGCTAATACAAAACAAAGTTAAGTAATAAACCATAATTTGCACAACCATCTAGAATCGCATACTCTTCAACATTCCTAAAAATATGAGCATGTTTGGATCCTTTCAATGACTTGATACTACCACTACTCCAAATGATTACAAAGTTCATCACAAAAAGCAATTTTTGGGGATATCACAAAGTTTCATTCAGGATTGTCTCAAAAGCACAAGCATAATAACCACCAAGCAACAAATACAAAATACAAACCAAAAACACACAAATAAAATGAACACTTCCTAAAAACAAATACACCAAACCAAAGAAATAGACCATCAACAATGCAACACAAACCAAACTATCCACTCCCCCAAACTTAAAGAATGCAATGTCCTCAATGCATGAAAAACAAAAATAAAACAAAAAATATGGAAAATAAAAGATAGAAACTTCCTTGAAAAAGAAGAGATTTTTTTTTTTTTTTTTTTTTTGCACATGGCCACGGTTGTGTAACATAACACAATGTACCCCGTGTTGAAGGCTAGAATTCTTCAATCTTTTTATCCTTTAACATGGCCACGCCTGTGTTAAATGACACAGGGTAGCCTATGTTCTATTCTGCTCAAAATTGTCTTCTTCTTTTATCACTTAAGTTTCCCCCAAACTTGTTCGTTGTTCCGACGATAACAAAAAAAGAACCAAAAAAAAATTAAAATGCATTGAAAAAAAATGCAAAAATTTTAGCAAACAAAAATAAAATAATTGTAGAAGAGAGAAAATAAATAAATAAATTATAGTTCTAATTTAAAGTCGTTAGCTTGACTTTCTCTACTTTCTTCATTCAAGAAACTGGACAGACACAATGTTTGGATCGAACCATTCTCCAACATAGTGCTTCAAACGGTATCCATTAACTTTAAACGTCTCACTTGTCTTTCCATGGCGGATCTCAATTGCTCCAAAAGGTGTTACCTGAATTACCTCATATGGACGCGTCCATCTTGATTTCAGCTATCCTGAGAAAAGATGAAGACAACTATTGTAAAGAAGAACTTGTTATCCTAGCTCGAACTCCTTTTTCACAATGTGCCTATCATGCCATTTCTTTGTCTTCTCCTTGTATAAACTAGCACTCTCGTATGCCCAATGACAAAATTCATCTAGCTCACTCACCTGCAAAAGACGTTTAGCACCTGCACTTTGTACATCAAAATTCAAAAATTTAGTAGCCCAATAAGCTTTGTGCTCTAATTCTACCGACAGGTGACATGCTTTTCCAAATACTAACCTATACAGTGACATACCTATAGGTGTTTTAAAGGCTATCCTATATGCCCATAAAGCATCGTCTAACTTTCTTGCCCAATCTTTTCTAGAGGCACTAACAATCTTTTTGAAAATTCGTTTTAGCTCTCTATTAGAGACCTCTACTTGACCACTAGTTTCGGCATAGTAAGGAGTAGCTACCTTGTGTATGACTCCATATTTCTTTAAGAGGGCATTAAATTGGTGGTTACAAAAATGCTTTCCTCCATCACTAATGATTTCCCTAGTAGTGCTATATCTAGTGAAAATATTTCGCCTAAGGAATTGGAGTACTATTCTAGAATCATTAGTTTTGGTGGCAATTGCCTCCATCTATTTAGAAATGTAATCTACTGCCACAAGTATAAAAGTGTTCCCATACGATGATAGAAATGGAACCATGAAATCAATACCCCAAATATAAAAAATTTCACATACCAATATATTATTTAAAGGCATCTTATCTTTCTTAGAAATAGCACCCATTCTTTGGCAATGATCACAAGAGGATACATACGTTTGAGCAACCTAAAACACAATGGGCTAATAAAAACCTGATTGCAACACCTTTGCCACTATACGATTCGCCCTGAAATGCCCTCTGGTTTCTCTATCATGGCAATGACTCAAAATAGCTCCAATCTCTTCTTCTGGCACACATTTTCTAACAACTTGATCTGCACGTATAGTTTGTACGAGTAAGGGTCTTCCCACAAATAATATTTGACGTCAACCAAAATTGTCTTCCTTTGCTAGAATGTAAAATGCTTTGGGATCCAGCCTCCTGCAAGAAAATTAGCCAAATCAACAAACCATGGAGATTTAGAAAAGATGAGCTAAGAGATAGAATCCGCTCATTAGGAAATTCTGCACTAATATCTCCCTCTTCAAGGATTGAATTATCTAGTCGGGATAAATGATCAGCAACTTGATTTTCTGTTCCCTTTCGATCTTTAATCTCCAAATCAAACTCTTGAAGTAGAAATACCCATTTGATAAGGTGTGGTTTGGCATCCTTCTTAGCAAAGACATTGAGGATTTCAAGCATGGACATTGAATATGAAAGAATCATAAGAGTGTAAGAACAAACGGTTCGAGAATCAGAGCTCAAACGAAGAAGTTATGGATTTTTGAAGATTATTCACAGTAGCAGAACTATTCCCACGCCGCAGCATAAAAAATTGTAAAATGGATAGAAACTTCATGCCGCAGCATCACAAAATCATGCCACGGCACAATGTGGGAAATTTATGTTTGGAAATTTTTCTACCGGAACATGCTGCACGAAAATGATCATAACTTGAGCTATACAACTCAGATTGACCTGGTTCTAGTGGTGTTTTAAATCTAAGAGACAAAGCTACAACCTTTATGTTTCAATCATGGCCAAGTTCAACATGTAATATGATTAAAATGGAGATGAAAGCTACATTAGTGCTTGGAGATGTGCAAATTTGTTATTATGCATTTTTAATTGAAGTATAACTTTTTACCATAATACCCTCATGAATTTAATATTATAAATAGATGTCCTTAGCAATATTTTAGGGAGCTACGGTTTATGATATCAAATATAATTAGGAAGAGGCAAGGAGAGGAGATCTTACCTAGGGTTTCATCTTCTTCTTCTTGTACTTCATGGTTTTCAAGATTTTGAGATTTGATTTCCTTATGTTCATGTGTAACTAAATACTTTTCTAGGCATCCAATGTAGCCTAATAAGAAGGTTTTATGTCTTTGTTAATTCTATTTGTCTTACCAATCCATTGCAATTCTAGTTTTATTCATTATCCTTTATTAAATCTTTAATTGATGTTATTGCTTGATCACCTTTAATTTTAATTAATTGATTGTGTGAGACAACGTTAGACTACACACCCTAGCTAATCTTGAATAGCTCGTGTGAATGAATTATTAGTATTTTGTGCATATGCCCTGATAGAATGCTAATTGGTTCATGATTTCTTGAATAATTAGTGTCTGTGCATACACCCTGACAGATGCGCATTTGTTCTTGATTTCGAGTGCTCTTGTGTTTAATGGGTTTTTAATTATTAGGCTAGACTATACGCCCGAGCTAGTCTCATGTTAAAGATACTAGGTTAATCCCGAACGCCTTCTGGTAATACCTTAATTATGTGAGTGTGAACCCTAGAAATTGGATTGTGATAACAATAGTTTGATAGTTGGCATAAAATTGGATTATTATGGTGAAATTGGATACATAGGTTGTAGTTCATTGGTTCTTAAATCAGTTTTTAATTGGTGTTATTTTGGCTCAGTCAGTAGTAGTTAATTTTTAGTTTCTTTTTACACTTAGTTTTAATCACTAGTTCTTTAATTTGCTTAATTTTTTTTTTTTTAATTAAGGCATAGTTATTAGGATTACTTGATAACTTACAAATCTCTGTGGGATCAACCCTTGCTTTTGCACACTATACTGCGATAGCGATTCGTGCACTTGCAAGGAAGTAAAATTGTTCATCAAGCACCAAAAATTTTACGTGACTAAATCAACCCTAGCAAGTGCACTAGTCATATTCAAGTAACAAAGTGATGAGTTTGAGTATCGTCCCACAAAGATCAAAGCAAATATTCGTAATTATCTAAAACTACCTACACGTTATTTGAGAAAATGAAAATTTAGAGTGCAAAACCATCGGATTAAAAATAACTAAATTAAACAAATACATAATGTGAAGAACTTTGCAGTGTTAATGAAGTTAGGGTACAGATTTCCCCTTAATTATGCTTGACAACTACTCTTAATACTCGTTTGTGCTATAAATTGGTAGGATTCTTCTAATGCTAATTATCCTTATTCAGGCATAATATTCAACTTAATATAGATCCCTATTCGGTTACTCTAAAATTAAGAAGCATAAATTCATCAATCCCTTTCGACTAATTCGCCCTATTTGGTTATGAATTAGATGGACCACAAATTAATCCTAGAATCTCTATTCGATTAGTTCTAGTTTTAGTACGTTGTGCAATGTTATTCCAATAAAACAATTATGAATATGAATTAAGTAATAAATCCTAACTTCTCTATTTGAAACATCATCAAGGTAATTGAATCAATCCAACATTNCTGCCATACAACTTGAAACACGCGTTGAATCCACAGGATGTGAATCAAAAGGATTCACTTGTGTGAGATTAATTAATTGAATCCTAAAGAAGCTATAGTCTAGACTTTTTCACTTTCCCTGGTACCATAATTTCTCTTTGTTGAATGGTGAAGCACAAAATGGTGTAACTGGGGCTTTACTTCAACAATGTCGTTTCACTCTAAAGCTCTAAGACTGATCCTGATCATTGATTGCTGCATAATCTAACGGTTAAGATTCTCCAGTAGTGCAAGTATAAAAGAGTGCAATTCAGTCAAATTACATAGCGCAATATACTCTCTGATTTTGTGATTAAGTTCTTAGAAATTAGGGTCTTGTTTCTCATAGGCTTGTAATCTGTTGGGATTCTAGTAATCATGTTTAAGAGTTGTGTTTCCTTTAGGTTGTGAGGATCTGGTTAGTAGTCTCATATAGGAAAGGTTACGGGTGAGTCTTTGAGAGAGTTACAGGGAGTGAGTGATTTGATTCTGTTGAATCAGGTTGTATTTGTAACAAATCTTTATCTCTAGTGCAATGAGCCCCAAGTTTACTAGAGCTCAACGTGGATGTAGGTTATCCAATTTAGGTAAGTGAACCACGATAAAAATCCTTGTCTTTGTGTTTGATTTTGTATTTGCTTTCTTGATCAATTGGTGAGATTGTGTGTTTGGAGTTTCAGAATCTTACGTTGGATTACAACAGTGGTATCAGAGCTAGCTAATTAGGGTTTGTCAATTTTTTAGGGTTTACTGTTTGAAATTAGGGTTTGGTAAATTTTGTGGGTTTCTTAATTTAAAGATTCAGAGCACTCTAGAGTTAGGAAATCTACAAAATTGAGTCTCAAATTTCTTGAAGAAACTCGAAATCGAATGTAATCCTTGGGTTCTTTCTTTCGGAGTTCACCAAACAATATTACCTACTTCACACAATGAGCACCACATGAGTTGAGATTGCAATGTACGATGGTAAAATCGATTTCAACACTTGAAAGAAGAAGATGAAGGCACTCTTGTCACATAATAAAGTGGCAATAGCATTGGAGAAGGATCAGACCAAATGGCCCGAGGAAAAGCTGAAAAGGAAAGCTAAAATTGATGAAGAAGCATACAATGTCATCGTAATGAACCTTGCCGACAACGTATTACGAAAGGTAGATTGTGTTGAGACACCGATTGCTCTTTAGGGTAAGCTTGAATCCATTTATGCAATTCAGTCTACTCCTAATCTTGCTTATTCGAAAGGTGTATTGTTTTCTTATAAAATGGACAGTGCTAGGACTATACAAGAAAACTTAGATGAGTTCTTGCAAATGACCCTTGTACTCAAGGGCACCAATCAAGAACTCAGTGAGTCAAGCTTAGCCATGAACCTCTTAAACTCCCTTACCGAGGAGTATCAAGTTGTTAAGAATGCCCTCCAATACACTGGAACAGTCCCTAGCCTAGACTTAATTGCATCAGGATTAAAGGCTAAAGAACTAGAGCTTAGGGTTCAAAAGGAAAACAATAGTAGTTTATTTGTAACGAGAAAATGAGATTCTAGGCAGTCTGGGAGTAATTCGCACTTTAACGGTGGTCCTAAGAGTAAAAAGAAGGGTAAGAACACTCATAAGACTAAAGGAGAGACAAGAAAATGTTTCTTCTATAACAAAACTACACATTTGAAGAAAAATTGCTATGAGTGGATCAGAAAACAAAAACAGAATAACATAGAGAGTAATATAGCCTCTAGTAAGAATGATATCAAAGAATCTGAAGGTCGTAACTTTGTCGAGAGACTAAAAACATAGAGGAATGGGTGCTAGATTCTGGGTGCTCATTTCACATGAGCCCCAATGGAGATTGGTTCCAAGATTTTGAAGTTGGTGGGTTAGAGACTGTGTATATGGGCAACAACAATGCCTACAAGGTCCAGGGGATTGGGAATATAGTTTTAAGACTAAATGATGGTAAATCAGTTAAACTGACTAGGGTGAGATACATACTAGAATTAAAAAGAAACCTGATCTCCCTAGGAACCTTAGTCAAGTTGTTGCTATAAAGCTGAATGTGGCTACCTAAATGCGTATAAGAATGAAAACTTGGTCCTAAAAGGTGTCAAATGCAATGGGCTTTACATCTTATGTGGTAATCACTATTCAAACTATGTTAACTCTACTTTCTTTACTACTAACCTCACTGTTACAGAGAAGTGGCATCTCATAATGGGCCACTTGAGCCA